GGGGTTAAATCGGAGTTAATTGTTTAATACTTGCCATTTTTTAATCGCAATAATTGATCGGATAATTTTGTAGATTAAGCATTTAGATCCAATAAGATTTAGTGCTGGCGCATTTTACAGACACTCAAGTGAAGCGAAATGATACCATTCCGGTGAACTCAATGATCGAAGACAACAATCCAATGGGCCTGGAATATGTTAGGTCAAGACAAAATCCTTAGACAAAAGTAGGTATCTTCCTTAGACTAAGTATTTTGCAGCAGCCATTCACGAATTAAGAGACTAAGACTTCAATAGAGAAAAGTTCAGGTTGTAAGCGTCAGCAAAGCGCGATTAAAAAATGCGATTTGGGTAAGAGATCGAATTTCGGTACATTAGTTGAACCCATCTTGTTTACCGCCTTTGATGAGCGGACAATAAGCGATTGGTTATCTGACTACGTGAACCGAATAGACATAATCCAAAATGTGCTTTTTTTTCTGGGGGGGGGGTATGGGGGGTGGGGGGAGGGGAGGGGGGAACGAATATTGAAAACTCTCCTCAACCTCCTGCTCATCCTCCCACTAAGTATGCTAATGTGCAGGGTTCAAGTTGGTAGAATATTTAAGCACCACATGAGCTGCTTAATTATATAACCCATTTGATGATGTAATTTGGTTAAGATTATACTTTGCGAGAAATATTAACGCCGTTAGCACACTTCTGAGCGAAAAGACGAGTTGAGATGAGCGAATAATTGGGGGTGATTGCATCTGAATGCGGCAATTAAATAAATAAATAAATATACATGGTTGTAAAAGATTTAAACTTAATGAACCACAAATTGGCAACATTTACTTTCCCCCGATGAATAAATAACCCACTACACATTTCCTAACACATGGAGGTTTGAGTACTTCCCCTGTCTAATTGTGAGAATTGATTAATTGTGACGAAATACTAATCCACTTTCGTGCGTTAATCACTCTCTTAAAAAATGCGTTAGAGGTAGTGCCAAATTAATGCGAAGAGTTGAATTTGACTCCGAAAGAAATCGCAAAGATGAAGCAGAGTTCAGCTGAAATTTTTTCATGCTACAATTGAGCAACTAAGTACTTTTAGGTACTTGATAATATATGAACTAGCTTGTTGGATAAATAAATAAGTGAATTAGTAATGGAAAGAACTGTATAATTGACGTTTTTGATAAAATCCAATTCATTTTTTTGTTATAAGAAATTTTTTGTTACAATAACAGAATCTCATTCTGAGAAAAGCCCATGCTCTTCTAACATTTATTTATTTATTTCAAATGGCAGGCGTTTTGATAGCTATCGTTAGCCATTTAGCTGACTTCAGGCTTCACAGAGGGAAGGTTAATCAGAGTAGCAGAAAGTCGAGGGGTGGGGAAGAGAAGAGCGATTCACAGATGTAAAAGAGGCAAACAGACACAGAGGTAGAGAAAAGGTAAGATGAGTACTGTGGTAGGGGTCGAATATGTTATGCAGTGGGGTCATGGTAGTTTGAAGTCAGAAGTCAACTGCCGATTAATAGACTTTTTTGCCGTATGAGTACACGTTGCCCAGGGTGCACCACGTGGAGGTAAATCTATCGCACACCCCACTCTTCTAACATTAAAAAAGAACCAATTTTACGGGGGATAGTGCTCAAAGATAGTGACATATGAACAGCTCGATCATAGTTTTTTTAAAATGAAATTCTACGACTGTCAAAAAGAAGGCTCTTCGTTTTGTCAAATCAAAATGGTTAATGAGGGAGGTAATTGGTTTGCCAATATTTGCCAAGCTCATTTCGAAAGTGTGTTCCAACGCTCATTTACGGTAGATATCGGCATCAATGGGGCTCCCTGATGAGAGCCTTGTATTTTGTCACCCTCTGTAGTAGACATACTTGACCAGTACGATTGACCATTCCACTCACCGGATGTGTGGGCCTAACGTTCATCAACTCCGTGACCTCTGACATGGTAAACGTGTACACTAAACCCTGTGCTACCGACTCACGTGGAAATCTAATTCATATTTCCAGTCAATAAGGCTTACAAGTCTGATTGGGGTCATGTCATCTTAAAAGGACAGTAATTACAATAGAGCGAATTGTTCCCACATTGTTACTTGCACTATTATTTGTACTAACATACCGACTCTCAGTACGTACATGCTTAAGTTGATGTAGAACCGATAGTTCACTTAATTTAGGGCTTTCTAGAAGTTTTGCTACCGTATGCTGATTAAACACGAGTTGGCTCAGCTGCGTTAAAAGCCGCAAAGAAGTAAAATGTTGAAATTTTCCTCGATAAGTCATAATCAAATTCACCTAAGAGAGTGGTGACGAAACCATGAAATAATTAAACTGGAACAGCAGAATTCGACTCAATAGGTAAAAACCCCAATGTTGTCGTAATGCCCTTAAGGCAAGATTCATTTGATGCTTCAATCTCATTGTTTACTTACCAACCATTTTCTTCATTTCTTTCTTTCTTTCTTGGGCTATTTTCTTAAGTTATGACTTAAATTACAAAAATTTTAACTTTACAAAGGCTAAGAAAATAAGCCAATCAAAACAAACATAAATGGCATTTGGAAAAAATTCTGCACAAAATGAATGCTTGGTACTAATAATAAATGGCTGCGTCAGTTCGTAGGTCTGAAATGCAACTTTCACCAAGTCTTTTCCGCGGGAAATTTTGAAATTCGACTTTTTTCTGGAAGCATCGAATGTGAGCCCCAATTGCGAACAGTTTTAGCGCCTATTACAAAATGACTCCTCTACATTCCCTCATGTCAATGCACAGATAAGCCGATTCTATCCACATAAAACCTTAATTTCTCACTCAAGACTACACGTGATTATACTCGACTGTCTCATTTGTTTTGCTTGCGTATGTTGGCGCGCCAATTCACCCTGTTCCTCTGTGACTCATGACTTTTAATGACTAATGTGAGGTAAGAGAATGTGCCTCCATCATTGACAAGGCAATGCAGTTAACATACTTTACGGCACAAAGTAAAGGGAGAGCCTTTGACCGCGCGCCCGTGACGTTGGACGCTAGACAAAATGATGCGGAGAGCCATTTAAATCAATCAAACGCTAATGAGATCCGGACACATTGAAATAAGTTCGGTGAAAGAAATCCTGAAATTCAAAATCTGAGACACAAAACCACAGAAGAAGAGTAAATATCGTCCACTGAATAAAAAGGTGTACAACCTAAGTCCACAAATTTAGAGAATAAATTGCACGTTTATGGCCTTTTGACAATGGCATTGCATTTAAAAGGAGAAACAGTGGCACCCCACGAGAGCATACGAATGGATGCCTCACCCATAACCTAATCCTAAATTCACGAAGAATTTTCACATGTATGCAATCAAAGTGGCACTGTACAGTACAAAGTCTAAAAGTGCATCAAGCGGCACGCATCGCAGAAGAGGACCGGAAGAAACTGTACACCTGAATTTATAGGCATCAGTACTGATTTTGTGCTTTAATAATAATTCCCCCCCAATACACGGGCATACACTACAAAAATGCTGGATGGATTGATAAACAAAGAAACTGTATGATTGAAATGAGGTTTTGGGCGTAACCAAGGTAATTAGAAAAGAATGTTGTGTACACTGCAATTTTAGCTCTTCTTCTTTTTTTTTCAAATTACACAAATACACAAATTTGGTTAAGAAAAGTTGAAGATATGTTTTCTTTTTCTTGGATGATAGTATGAATGTCAATAGCGGTTAAAATGGCGAGAGAAAGGACATCTTCTTCTGCACTTGGAATAGCCATGACGCGGGGTTAGAATTTCTTAGCGTTTCCATTCTTCTGTAAACCGTTTGAATATTCTGACTCCGACTCAGACATTTCACTATCACTTCGAGCGTCTGACGATATCTAATTAAAATAAATACGCTTAACTAATTATCTCCGATTAGCACACAAAATAGTTAATTTACTACTAGCATACCTGGCCAGAAGTAAGTGACTTCAGGGCTGTTTGAATTATTTGAATAGTCCAGAAGAGATGGAGCACCTGAAGTCCGCATAGGAAGGCTAGAAAGCCGTAGAGAGCTGGATAGAATCCAATTTCACCAGGTGCTACGAAGACGATGGATGATATAACCCTACAGGTACACAAAATATTAAAATTATGATTCCCACTGACCAATCAGAAGCCACATTGCACTGCTTTCACGCTTAATTACACACACTTCTCATGCAGATAATAATAGAGTATTTAAAATTCTGTCAAGGTATTCACTACATTGAAACAGCTAGACACCAATTCTTAAATTAATAAATCACGGTTTACAATCATTAATGGCTAATTCAATGGCATTGAGAGCAAGTTCCTAGGAGATTGCTAAAACAAAGATCAGCAAAGCAGGTTCATATCCTCTCACGGGGGTCCCAATTGATAACATTTTGCCAGTTAATCGCGGCGGGAGCTTTTAAGAGTCCAGAGGGGTTCTGACCTGGTTCCTGTGGGTAGATAGATCATAGTGGCTGAAATTGGACGACCAAGCGCAACCATACTTGTTAAAAATATTACTTAAATGCCTTTTTTTACTGAATTATATGGTACTCATGAATGAGAACCCTTAATTCTGAACATGTCCCATTAACCCGTCGAGTCTTTACTTTCAGTGCCTGATAAGAAAAGTATGTCACCCTTCTACAGGTAATATAGGCTTCGACCACTACGCTAACTGAGCACATTGTGAAGCGTTAAATATGGTGACTTCAGTTTTAATCTGACTCCGTGTTTGACACCCAAAAGAGCTCAGGTGAAGAGGAGCAACTCAATGTTTACGATGAGAGCTCTAGAATGAAGTGCTATTTACCGATGCTTGAGAGCACAATTCACAAGAAGGTAAAACGAATATCAAGACATGATTTCTCCAATGTGAAGATGGCACAATAATCAGTTCATCAGTTGAAGCTAATAGTGTGCAAATATCATTGTATTACTTGATTAGTCATTCTACCTGCAAGGTAAGTGTTTAAAAAAAGACCTTTTTTCTCTATATGGTTTTAGTTCAAGTAGGCTTTTATAGATCACTCACTGCGGTAATTACTTAGAGGTTTACCACAGCAGTTATCGCAACACGTATGATAACCAAAGATCACATGTTAAATTAACACATTTGCATGAATAACTCAAATCGCGATTTGCAACATCTACCTTGGAGCCAGATGTAGGCACAAAGGACCCTAAAAATTAACCAATCAGTCATTAACAGGAAGGAAATTACCCAGAATTTTGCGTATTTTGTATTAAGGGTGTATGAGATTACTCTGGAAATAGCTGTTAGATAATTATTTTATAAGTCAAAAGGATTCGTAATTATTAAGATAGGACAATTATTAGAAGGGTTTGAATAATTGTCTCATTGAGTGAATTCGAGTAACCTTAAATGCTTCGCAAATCTCATTTAATTAGTCTTGGGCCCAGAAAGATCCAAATGAATTAAAACAGTATAACTTAATAATTAATTAAATTAACTAACCACCAAGCTCTGCGAATCAATTCATAAAAATCTTGTAACATGAGATTTAGAACTATTGTCATTATTTAGGAGTTGACGATTCAATGTTTCCAGAATTGTTTTAAACAAAGATTATTGACATTTTGACTTCATAATATATCCATTTTCGGCTCTCACGTTTCATCGATTTAGGAGATATTTTAATACTTCACGCCTACAATTTCCTTGTTTATCACTCGAATTTTGAATTTTGTCATCATAAAAATAGATTTATGGGAACACTGAACACAGGAAGGTTAGCTTCTAAAGCCATATTCGATATATTCACTCGAAATTAGCAGTATTCGCAAATCAATGCGAGAATTTATGTTAGCAGAAAACCCTTAATGGTTATTAAGAAGATGGTTAAAGAATTTAGAACCGATTTTACGAGAAAACCATATTCTTTTACATCTCCATTACTGATTAGAATCATCTCGTACGGTCGACCGTCTACATAACTCGATTTACATCAATAAGAATTAACCTTGCAACCTCCAAATCTGCGGATATCCACCATTCTAGCATTGGCTGTTGCTTTTGCAAAAAGAATTTCAAAGAATTCAAACATTCCTATTACTTTAAGACAATGGGTAAACAAAAGACTGCCTTCTTCAATTTCCGCTTTAGTAAAACAGCAAACAATGTCCGAAGGAAAGGAAACAAAATTCCACAAATATCAGATCTCTCAAAACTTCCAAATCTCTCGACTGCCATAATTCACTTGTATATGATTCTACTAGCAATGTTTCGTCTTAAAGATAAATGACCTATCGACCACTCAATAATCAAAGATAAACCGGTAGTCCAGCATCATAGTAAACATATATAACAAGATGGAAACTGAAAAAAAGGTGATGATTCATTCTTGTTGACTTCAAATTCCACAAAAATGGCTAGAAAAAACAAAGACGTGAGAAATCATTCGAATTCTGCCGATAAACGATGCTTCATTTTTGAAGTTCAATTTTATGACGAACTTGCTAAAGTCGGTAAAGTTGAAAGTGATTATGAGGCATCTTGCCAGTGATGAAAGTCATCAGAATACCATGTGTTTGGATAACGAATTCCATGATTGTAGTTTGAAAACGTGGGTCTACAAAACTTGAGGTGAGTGGAAATTCGACTAATCAAAGATTAGTCAGTAAATGCGGTTTGAAACTTGCTGTAATAAAATTAATGAATGATACGTCAATCGGACAAGTGGTAGCAGCTCTTCTGGATGTTATTTGTTGGAAAGGGCAGAATGATTTGGGCACTGGAATAGGAAACATTGTTCTGGTTCAAACTCAAGGAATAAACACATCAAAGATGCTTCGAGTATTCAGTAAGTTTGTATGCTTTCAAGCCTGAAATTTAAAAACTCATCTCTCCCTATGAGTTTCTATTTATTCGACATTGGCCAACTTCTTTTGCCAACTATACAATAGGTAATTTTAATTGGTTAATGAGAACTGAGAACATTACGCGAACAAATGAGAAGACAAGTCATTTATCTATAGCGGAAGTTTTGAATACTACAATTTTGGCTTTAATGTAGAAGCCCAAAATAACTGTGAACTAAAAAAAAACTATGAAGAAAGAATGTCTCTGCAAAGTAATCATGAGTCACATTGTCAGCACTAGTTTGGGAAGGATTCAACACCAAGAATCAGAATTTTCTAATTATTTGCTGAAATGAAAATGGCAGAATGGTAATGTTGCTACGAGAAAAAAAACTTTTATTGCATGCATAACTGGCCCTGCTGAGTTCTGCCTTGAATAGGATTCCACTATTATTGCCAGGCAAAAAATGAGAGGTAGAGAGAGAGTGGGTG